AGTGAGACAGGCAGATTGGACTGACAGACAGGCAAAGCGAAAACGGAGATAGGATGGGGGAAATAAAAAGAGAGAGAAAAACAAAAAAAAGGGCGAGGGACAGAAAAACCAAGCGAGAGACCCGAATTCGTTTATTTACCCGCGCGCCCCCCCCCCCGAGGATCCCCTATGTGGCGCCTCTCCTGTGGGCATTCCAGAACCCGCTTGAATTTCCCACGGAGACCCGCGGAGCGGAGCTGAAGATCCCAGAGGGCCTCGCGACAGTCGCAGGAGGCTCCCAAGCTGCCCCAGACAGTTTCCGGCATTATAGCGAGGGCTGCCACCAAACGCCCACACAGGATATCAAAGAGGGCCACAGTCAAAAACCGAAGGCATTCCGCCCCAACGTGTCTTGTCTTCTTGCTTGGAGGCATTGCGAGCGCGTGGCTCTAAGATGGCCCAAGAGGCCCACATTGACCAGGAAGAAAAACCCAAGACCGTTGACCCAAAGGATGGCCCAATACTGCCGTGAATTTCAATCTTCAGCGCGACTTCAGCGGCCAAAGGCGTGCGCTGCCAAGCCAAGGATCCGTTCATCAAGACACGGCGCGTCTGACGCGCTATATCCTGGGCCCTATGGCAGGTTTAAGGAGGGCGCGGGCGATGCCGGCAAAGCGTGCGCGAAGGTTCTAGTCAAGGACCCCCAAGACGTCAATCCACACTATCACTTGGACCCCTGTCTTTGGGAAGTGGCTTTCGACACCGGCGGCAAACGCAAAACAAAAAGGCTCAACGGAGACGCTGCAGCGGGGCCCGAGACTGGGCCTCCCCTGCCCAGTCCGGTGATTCTCCAGGGCGGGGCACCAACGGGGTGTGGGCGTGGAAATCACCGACTTGGGTGTTGTCTTTCCCCTTTTGTTGTTTTTTGCTTCTTTCCCTGATTCCTGTCGCTCTTCCTGTCGCTCTTCCTTTTGCTCTTCCGATCCTAGATTGCGCGATGGTCGGGGCCGTCGGGGTCAGTTTTGGATGCAGTAGGTTGGATGCGCCTCTTGTCCACGATGTTTTCTCTCCGCCGCCCGCATCGCCGTCGTCGTCGTCCGCTGTCGGGGGGTCGTCGTCGTCCTCGTCGTCAGAAGATCGATCGGTCGGTCGTCCTCCATCCTCTTGGACCTTCTCGTCCTCCAGCTCCACCCCGCCGCTCCTCCTGCTCCTCTTGCTCCTCCGGCTCCTCCTGCTCGTGCTGCTCCTGCACCTCCTCCTTCTCCCTCTCCTCCTCCTCCTCCTCCTCCTCCTCCTCTCCTCCTCCTCCTCCTCCTCCTCCTCCTCCTCCTCCTCCTGCTCCTCCTCTGCTGCCACTGCGACTCCTCCTCCTTCTCCTCCTCCTCCTCCTGCTTCTCCTCCTCCTCTTTTCCTTCCTCCTCCTCCTCCTCCCCCTCCTTCCTCCTCCCCTCCCTCCCTTCTTCCCTCCCTCCCTCCCTCTCCTCCCTCTTCTCCTCCTCCTCCTCCTCCTCCTCCTCCTCCTCTTTCCTCCTCCTTCTCCTGCTGCACCTGCTCTCCTCCTCCTCCTCCTGCTATTCCTCCCCCTCCTCCTCCTCCTCCTCCTCCTTCGCCTCCTCCTCCTCCTGCTCCCCCTTCCTCCTCCCTCCTTCCTCCTCCCTCTCCGCCTCCTCCTCCTCCTCCTCCTCCTCTTCCCTCTCCTCTCCCTTCCTCCTCCTCCTCGTATCAATACAATTGATAGGTTTCTCCTGCTTCATCATATTATTCGTCTTCTTATCAATATTGTCACGATACGTATTACGAGCAGCACGAGTATAATCAATACTGTGAGTAGCAGTGTCCTACTACTACCTGTCCTACTACCATTAGTACGTTTAGCATGAGTATGGTTAGAAGTCGCAGTTCTATTAGTAATGGTAATACCATAGCTGATAATGGTACTAGTTCGTTGTATGATTACTGATCGTATGAGTATTCGTATCAGTCTTAGTCGTATGATGGCTATTCATATGTTCAGTGTGGTTCTTACTAGTAGTTTGACTAGTACTGCTGAATCGAAATAGAAATAGTCATACGTGTAGTAGTATGAATAGTGATCGTACTCCTCTTCCAGCACATCTTCCTCCTCCTCCTCCTCCACCCCCTGCTCCTCCTCCTCCACCACCTCCTCCTCCTCCTCCTCCTCCTGATCATCCTCATCCTCATTCTTCTCTTCCCATCCCCCTCCTCGTCTCCCCCCTCCAGGCTTCTTCCCCACACCCGTGCGCCATTGCAACGCACCGCCCTCTCATGGAGAACACCACCACAGCCGAACACCAGACACTCGAAGAACTCTACCAAGCATCACTCAAGCCGCGGATATCCCACCAAGCACGCCTCCCATGTAACTGCTCCAGCACACCTTTCTGTGTCCGTTTCCACTGCTCGACCTTTCCGCTTCCAATTCTCGGCCTTTCCCTTTCCATGGTTGGGAACAGCCTTTCCAAGGTTGGGGAACAGCCGTTCCAGGGTTGGCGAGAGCCCAGGTTTCCAGGGTTGAGACCTCGTTCCTCGGGTTGGGAGTTTAACCCCTAGAACGCTCCTAGAAGATCGCCAAGGGAG